TCTGGTAGCATAGTAAACTCAAAGTAACCTCAAGGTCAGCAGTTGGAAACTACCAGCTGTTCCACAGGAGAAAGATGAGGCTTTCTGCTCCCATAAAGGATTTACAGCCTCGGGAACCCTAAGCAGGGTGACTATGAGTCAGAATGGACTCCAGGGCACACCCTCACCCCCACCCTTCCCTGATACTCTCTCCAGTTCACTTTTCAGTGAGATGCGCTAATGCATGCTCTAGATCAGGAGTGGGGAACACTGATCCGCCGGTTATATGTTGTTGTTGTTGTTAAGGGTCATGGAGGAGGTTCCGACTCAGAGCGACCCTGTATAGGGTTTCGGAGGTGCCGCTGGTGAACCGCCAGCAGTGCAGTTGAGTGCTTAGCCTATAGTGCCACACCCATGAAATCATTTGGTCTGGCCCTGCCACAGAAACCACAGTTCCAGCCATAACCTGAGTGGTAGGCTAATTAAACGTTTGAACAAATATAGCAGACTAATTCTGCAGTTGATAATTTTGTATGGCTGGCAAGTGAGGATATAAATATCCAAATCAGGACAAAGGTGCCCAGGCCTGCTCTAGAATCACCTCAGGTAACTGGTAGCAGAGCGTCACCACACCTGCTTAGTGGCCCCCCAGACTACAAACTCTTAGGGTAGAATGAGCATGTGGTCAATAAATACACTCTCCTGAATTAAAGAGCCAACATTCTTTCTTCTTAGAGGGGTAGTGAAGTATCGCAGAGGCCAGCCTGGCTCTACGTGGCTACAAAAATAGCTGTGTATGCTGACAACAAGCAGAACAGTCCAATAATCAATGGGAGGAATTATGATTGTTCCATGATAAAAAAAAAAAAAAATTGTTGAAACATTAAGAACTTGCTTACTGTGATTATAAGTGGATTTTTAAAAATAGCTAGCATACTGTAATTTAAAACACTGTTGTTATTGTTTGTTGTTAAGTGTTGTTGACTCATAGCAGCCCTGTATAGGGTTTTCAAGGAGCAGCTGGTGGTTTTGAACCACCAACATTTGATTAGTAGTCCAGTTCTTATCCTACATCACCACACCAGGACTCCCTTACAAACTGAAAATTATGTGTTTTATTTCTTGTGAAAAAACTTATCAAGTGCGTTTGTCTTCCTTTCATTATAAAGCTTAGGATAGGAGTGAGCGTTGTTTATACACCTTAGGAAATGATCATGCCTCCTTTCTAAGATGGGATCAGCCTTCAACCATTTCTCCTCGGAATCTGCAGTGCCATGAAGTCCCTCTAACAGTTCTGCCAGCATCCTTTCCTGTAGAACAAACACCCTTATCCTTTTCATCACAACCACTCCCCCATTTCTGTCACTGAGCTCCCCCAACTCAGTTCCTCTGACACTGTCCTTATTCTCACTATCAGCTAGTTCTTATTTGAATTTCACTCACAAAGTTATCATTTTAGATTTATGATGTACTTGCATCATTTCGGGTCAATTCCCTGTTTCAGTTATACATGTTTACAAAAGGTCATGTGGTTTTATCCATGGGAAACAAAAAGACAAAAAAATATGTTCCTCGTGAACTGGTAACAGGCACACGGGGACCCACTTGGACGATGAAAGAAGAGGCAGAGCTGATGGCTGACCTCAACATAATCTGTTTCTACGTCCTGATCAGTAGATGGAAGAGCTGGTAGCCAGGTCTGTACATTGCACACGTGTGGCTCATACGCCATGGTAGCTGAAATCAGAACCCTACAGGGGTAGCTGCTATGTAGCTGGAACGTGATCATCAGCTCTGTGGACATTGGAGGACTGCACAGCAAGGACAGTCTGCAGTCTGAAGTTTGGAGCACCTTTCTGTATATAAATCCCAGCTCTACCATTTACAACTTAAGACATTAGGTAGCTCAGTTACTCTTGGGTTTTTTCATCAATAAAATGGGTTGCTATATGCACTAAACGTGTACAAAATGTTTAGAACACCACCTGAACCTTATTAAAAGCTATTATGACTATAATTACTACTGATACTACTCACAGTACATTGGCTATGGGGTCCTGGTGTGGTACTGCTTGATAAGCACCGGTTGGCAATTCAACCTCATCAACTGCTCCTTGCAAACCCTATACAGGGTCACTATGGGTCAGAATTAACTAAATGGCACTTAACAACGTTGTATACACCTGCATGTGTTAACATAGCACTAATACTCTGGTAGCGTAGTGGTTACGAATCGGACTACAAACATCAAGGTCGGCAGTTCAAAACTACCAGCTGTTCCGTGGGAGAAAGATAAGGCTTTCTGCTCCTGTAAAGATTTACAGCCTCAGAAACCCGGGTCGCTATGGGTCGGAACCAACTCCACGGCACATAACAACAACAATAATACCCACATGGTGTTATTTAAAGTTGAATTAATTAGAATTAAATAAAAATTAAATTCAGCAGCAGCACTAATCACACTTTTCAACAACACAGAAGTTCTATTTGACCATGCTATTCTATACTCATCAAAGACAAGAATGTAGAGCTGGGTATGAGAATTTGAGATACATACATTAACAGCGATCTTTTCACCACTGGCCTAAAATCAAGACGGAATTACTAAATTCAAAGGCAAATATAAGAAACATCAGTGAAAAGGAATTTCAATGAAAGGACTTTTTGTTGTTGTTAAGGGCCATCAAGTTGGATCCAAGTCATAGCGGCCCTGTATAGGGTGTCCGAGGAGGGGCTGATAAGCTTGAACCGCCGACCTTGTGGTTCAAACCAATCCTGCAGTTTGGCACATTAACCCACAGTGCTACAACAGGACTCTTAAATTCTGAATACAATGGGCTAAGTTTCTCATAACAATAATATCCTTTAGAAACTAATTTTAAAGTGAGAAAGGTTGTACAATTTAAAGGGGAAAAAACTCACTTAAAAAGCTAAAGAAAATGCACATATAATTTATAAAAGGTTAAGTAATCTAAGCAAACTAAAGTACATTCATATTCATTTATTCCTTCTATCCTTTTCAAAAGAAACTAAATCTCCAATAATATTTCCAAATAAAATGTTTTCTAATTTTAATCTTCTCTGCTTTTCTTTAAGGAGCTTTTTTTAAAGCAAATCTATAGCTATCTGTTGTTGTTGTTGTTGTTGTTGTTGTTGTTGTTGTTGTTGTTAAGTGCCATCGAGTCGGTTCCAACCCATAGCAATCCTGTACAGGGTTTCCGAGGAGTAGCTGGTGAGCTTGAACCGCCGACCTTGCAGTTCCAACAGCTTTGCAGTCTGATGCATTCACCCACAATGCCACACCAGGACTCTTAAATAAATACATCGATTTTGTTAGCAGAAGTGTTTTGAGGGTAGAAACCACATCTCTTCACTTGTAAACTATAAATACGGGATGCTTGTAGAGTTGACCTGAATTAGCATTTGCTAAGATAGCAACTATTAATATGATGTTGATAGTGTTTCTGGGAGAAGAGGAGGAGTTATCATAAAGTAACATATCTTAGCAGACACTTCTACACCAAAGAATCCTGAAGGAAGGCATCATGAAGAAATGACCAATTTTCTCCCAAAAAAAGTAAATCCGAAAAGAAAGTTATTTCATTTCTAGCACAAATATGTAGGATATAAAGGAATATAAGTCAAATAGTTTGCTTTACAATTTTTTATACCTACTGAAGATTCCTTCAACTCCTTATGCAAAAAAAGCAATGTTAAGGTGCTATACTAACCCTGAAACATGAAACAGACTTTGTCCCCAAGCCTTAATGAGTATCATATTTCTTTCTATTGAACATTCCCTTTCAATGTTGTTTTCCCTTTGTATCAGCACACTCTTACAAGTCATCTTTGAAAAGTTTTTGAAATAATCTTGTTTTGTTTTTTTAATAGATATTATGGCTTGATGACAACTTCTCCACTGTAAAAAAATTGCCTGTGTAGAAAAAAATCTTTCCAAGACTCTGCTGTATCTGACTGTGCTAATACAGAAATGCCTTTAATAAATATGCATTTGGGTTGAATTCAGAAGACAGTCATTTCAACAAATGTGTTGACTTGGTTCTCACAGAGAAAAACAAGACAAAAACCTCAAGACAGAAGTAAAAAAAAAAAAATTTAAAAACAAACCTATAACCAGAGGGGGAGAAAAATTAAGTGCTGGTAAAAGTCATAAATTTAGAATGAAATCCAAGTACTCAAATTGCACTACAAAAGAAAACCTACACCAAAGCAATACTTCTTTCTAGAGGACACGCTCTTATCAGGCATCCTCTGATTTGTGAACAGATATTTTTACATGGGGCTCAGAAACTTCTGCTTCTGGGACTAAATTAAGTTAAACTGGAAGTGAAAGACTAACTGGATCTCGCAGTCCTGCATTCATAGAGTCACTAAACATTGAACATGACGTTTCTTAAATTTCGTAGTTATTCTTGACCGTACTTCATGGGGGAAATTATAAGCCACGTTTATATTGAAAAACAAGGACCTTCCCCCAGGGCATTCTTGCTCCATGTCGAAAGTTAACTGTAAGCATGAAAGAGGATAATGGGCCTTAAAGTCACTGATATTCTAGTAAAACTGCATTCATCTTTGATGAGATTCTTCTAAATCAGTAGGATATGCGGCTCCTCCTTGGAAGGCAGGATATCAGGAAAGGATAAAAAAGGGAGATGGGGGTAGAGGGAACACTCAAAACTCTGCATATATCAGTTTCTCCTTGGCCTACAACTTTTACAAAATGCAGCAAAGTTGGATACACTCGTACATATCCAGCTGCCTTAAATCCTTCTTTGGAAAAAGGCGAGGAACAAATAAATAAATGACCATCAGTCTCACAGATGCCAAATCTGCACCAACATGAGTAGGTAACTTGGAGATACCCTTTTGGGCAATTTTTAGTCAGTGACGATCCTGGCATCAGCTTCAGCACTCTGATGTCCTTGGTGCTATTTATACCCTGGTCTGTTTTACAGAAGTACACTGGCTTCTTTTCAAATGATGATAAAACGAACACAGAAACAGAAATCCATTTTCAACGTTGTTTCCCCTTTATATTCAGGAAATATTTATCAGGAAGCACCAAGGGTGCAAGTCACCACCCTGTTCTGTAAAACCAGGCCCAAGCACTCTGTTAAAGCGTGTCTTGAAGTCCAGAAAAAGTGTTAGGGACTTGGACAAAACTTACTGTTCAGAACATTCTCCAGTCTCTGAGTCATGGATCCTTCTACTTTTTCCGTTCCATCTGCTTCCAGTTTTTGATGGATAGCTAAAAAACAAAAACACCTCATTTAAGCACTGGTCATTTGAATGGGTAAGAATAGATTACCTAAAAATGACATTTTTAAGCAGCGTTACAAAACGGTCATCTTGTTTTCACGGCTGCAAAGAAGTACCGCAAACAGCCAACACTTTGCAAGCTAACCAGCGGACAGGGTTACACACTGTTTTCTGACAAAACCTGCCCATGGACATAGTGTTCCACTCATATGGCCTTCAACTAAGTAGAAAAAAGCAGTTGAATCAAAAAGAGGGAAAATAGAGAAACAAGGAAAGGAAAGAAGAAAATCCAGGCTGAAGGCCTCCTGGGCCGTATTGCTTCACCACTCGAGAAACAGAACTATACCCTATGTGATATCTACTAACCTCCAAACATTTAATTTGGGATGTAACATGGTAAAATATATACTATTTGTTTCTATTCATTTTTTTAAACATTCTCTAGTTAGGATTAATTATTTCCCTGAAGGCTCCCAAGAAATATTTAGTAATACCATACCTACCCATACATCAACTGAAGCTGTGAAACTTACACTGGAGTTTTGCTATTACTGACTTATGTCTGTTAGGTTCTGATAAAGATTATCAAGGAATCATTTCACAAATGACTTTTTTTTAAGTGTTTTACTTACTGAAAAGGGGGAATTTTAAACACAGCAAATTAAGCTTATTTCAGCAAAGAATCTAAGAAAGCTTTCAAACAGAACAGTAAAATACAATTTCAAATTCAAAACTGTTATGTAAAATTCAAAAACGCTCATCTTAAAAGAAACCAGTAATATATATTTGAATATTTTTATTTCACAGATGGAAATATCATAGCACCGTGAAATTAAATAAGTTGGCCAAGGTCACAGAGCCAAATTCAAAATTAAAACTCAAGCAGTCTGACTAAAGAACCAAAACTTGTAATCTACGCTGTCTACGTAGCCCACAGAAATCAAGCCTTGACCAGTGAGTCGCATGGGAAAACCATAGGATTGTCTAAGCCTCTGTGTTCACATCTGTAAAATGAGAATGAACTTACTGTATCAGCGGGAAATGAAATTCAGTTGAAAACAACAAACACTTTCCCATCCCCAAATGACAGCTGCTAAAAATTCACAGGATTTTATCCTTTCACATAACTTGCCCTCCTTACCAGAATCCCTACTGTAGCGCTCTAACTAAATCCCACAGACTTCAGAGTGTGTATACTACAGTGAAAATGACTCTTATATTTAGAGCTACTGCCTGAAATAAGAAATTCTGGTGGAACACAAGTTAAGTGCTCAGCTGTGAAACAAAAGTTTGGCAGTTCAAACACACCAGCCACTCTTTGGGAAAAAGATGTGGCGGTCTGCTCCCATTAAAAATAACAGTTTAGGAAACCCTAATGGGCAGTTCTGGTGTGGCCTTGCCTGTGGGAGAATGCACTGGATGAACCTCAAGGTCGATTTGAACTACAAGGTCAGCGGTTCAAATTCACTAGACGCTCCTCGGAAACCCTATGCAGGGTCGTTATGAGTTGGAACTGACTCGACGGCACTTAACAACAGCAACAACAGCACAGGACAGTTCTACTCTGTCCTATGAAGCCAACAGCCAAGGACTATATGGGCTCTCTGACATTTGAATAGTCCAAAGCCTTTCTTAAAAGGAATTTACATGCTCTGCTAAAATCCACAACTCACAGGTAGTGCAGATTTATGATAGGAAACAAGACTAAGTTAAAAAAGAAGTGTATTTCTTTCACCAGATTTATACAATGCAAGTGTCTCATTGGTCTGAAAATGCTGGCTGTTCACTCTGAACAACCTCCCAGCCTGGTAACATCGATGTCTCTGCTTCTTGTAGTTTAGTTTTATAATCGTCATCATGTCTTTGCCTATGTGTTTGTTTTGTAATGTTGTTGTCGTTTTTAATTGGAGGGAGGGGCAAAGCTACCTAAAATTTCGTTTGGAATTCAAAAATAAATAAGACTGTCGGTTTGCTCATAAAAAGAAAAAAGAAATACATTTAATAAAAAAATACCACAACACTTTGTTGATTCAAGAGTGAAAGAATCTGGGTTGTTTGATAAAATGTTTCCACATCTCCAAACTAAACTTCAACTTGTTCAGTGGACAAGAGCTTCCTTATCTTTAAGGAAAGAAGACATACTGTGCTGAAACAAAGCTAAACAAGAAAAGACTGAGAGGCTCTAGACAGGCAAATCTGCGGACACTATTGCTTAAATGCTGCTGTGATTTTCTGAAAATCCTGGCTGCAGATGGACGCTAACCACGTGCCCGACTTCTACTGAATGGGTATTGCACATGGTTTGTCCACGGCAATAAAACATTTCATTTTTAGAGTGACATCAACAGTAGTCTTGCCCAAAATGCTACTTTCTAAGTCAAAATCAACATGAAAGGAAATCAGGCAGTCACAGTTTCTGACGCTGACAAAACCCATCACTGATTAGCAGGTCACGATGAGGTGAACCTGGCTCCCCCAGCTCAGCTTACAGCCCTCAACTGCTGACAAAGCAACTTCCTGCCAACCATCTCCACCACCACACAGCCTCTGTCAAACTGTCAGCCCAACATGAGGACGAGAGACACTGGGATCTGATAAAGGCAATCCTATTTTCCAGAAAATTAAACCAAATAACCCAATGTCTGCTTCACGTGACCTTTTATTTTCTCTGAAAACATTCCTAAACAGTATAATTCAATAAGCAACTTGGTACATGATCACAGGTTTGTTATTGTTTCTAATCTATTAAAACTTAAATATGTGAAACACTCGAACGCCAAAAACTTTTATCTGAGAAACAGAAAAGTAGCTATAAAAATACTCCTCAAAGACAACTCAGGATTATATTGGCTATTGACTGACTGAAATTATCTGATCATTTGATTTAACTCTCTAGTAAAATGTGACGTGAAAGTTGTTAAGTTCAACTTAAAAAACCATAATACCTATCCGTGGATCAGTATAAATGCCACAGTGAAATGGAATCACATGCATACGGGTCGGGTCTCTAGGACTCAGCACCAGGTACTGCTATCAATACACACAAACCACTATGGATCACTAGGACCAAGTAGAGTCAGAAGGATCCACACCGGGATGCCAGGCAAACGTGCACCATAAAGAGCCAGAGAGTCAAAAGGTTCAGTTTTGTGGGCCTCAACCAGTCTCTTATCACATATGCTTCTTATGAAATCTTTGAAAAAGATAAAGCACCATATATATGTAACTCCAAACCCATATAAAGACAAACTGAGGGTCTACTTCAGTCCTAAGGTCACAAAGTATGCTGATCTCTGAGAAACACATTTACTAAAGTAGGAGACAGGTCATTATCAGATGTGTTAGTTGTTTAAATGTATAAAATACTCTTTCAAACATTTAACTTCCACTTCCTATTTTAATAAACTTTTTGACAGACTGAGTAAATCATTAATGAATTATATTTAAATTGGTTAAGGTATTGATGATTCCTTTCCTTTCCCAATAATATTTTTTTTAAAAAAACAATAAATAGTAAGATAATTGCAACTAGTACACGTTGTTGTAGCTCTTTTTGTTAGGTGCTGGTGAGTCGGCTCCAACCCACAGCGACCCTGTGACAGTACGACAGAACGCAACCCTGCCTGGTCCTGGGCCACCTCCCAGCTGTTACACTGGAGCCACTGCTGCTGCCAGGGTGGTAACCCATCTTGTTGGGGGTCTTCCTTTTTTCGCTGACCCTCCACTTTACCAAGCATAACATCCTTCACCAAGGTCTAGACCATCTTGATAATATGTCAAAGTATCAGAGACAAAGTCTCACCATCCTTACTTCTAAGGAGAATTCTGGCTGCACTTCTTCGTTTTTTGGCAGTCCACGGTGCTTTTAATATTCTTCTCCAACATCATAACACATATGCATTAATTCCTCTATGGTCTTCCTTAACCAATGACCAATTTTCACATGCATATAAAGCATTTGAAAATACCACGGATTGGGTCAGGTGTACCTGAGTCCTCAAATGGATACCTTTGCCTTAGAACACTTTGAAGAGGTCTTGCATCGTGGGTTTGCTAGTACAGTCTGTCGTTTGATTTCTTTACTGCTACTCCCATGGAGGTTGACCATGGATCCAAACAAACTACTACACAGAAGGTTAATAAAGTAGGAAGGGTTCTCACTTAAGTAACTGGGTTCTACATAACCTGATCTTTCAAGGTTATCTTTATACATCCAGGTTGTTGCTGTCTGCCACTGAATTGATTCTAAGTCACAGTGAGTCTATAGGACAGGGCTTCATAGACTGTCATCTATACCGTCTTTGGAGTCCTGGTGTGATGCCATAAGATAAGCACTCGACCTCAAGGTTGTGTTGAACCATAAGGTCAGCAGTTCAAACTCACCCGCTGCACCTCAAAAACCCTAGACAGGGTTGTTATAAGTCAGAACCAACTTGACACTTAACAACAACAACAATCTCTACAGGACCCAGTGTCTTTTCTCTATCACAAAGGCTGGTGGCTTCATACTACCTGCCTTTCATTTAGCAACCAAGTGTTTGACCACTGTGCCACCAGGGTTCCTCTGTCACACATCAACATAAAAAAAACTAAAATGAAAACAAAACTGATTTCAACTCATAGTGAGCACATATAGGATTTCAAAGCAGTAAATCTTCTACGTAAGCAAAAACCTCTTGTTTCTCCTGCGGCGCAACTGGTGAGTTTGAACTGACAATTTTGTTACCAGCAGTCCAGTGTTTAACTCTTTCGCCCACCACTCAGCATAGTGATGACAAAAGAAATGTTTGGAAGGGCGGACAGACAGAGTACTGAATGACCTGTGTTCCTTACTCGACTTTGGCCTCTCTGCTCTGGCAGTCTTTGTTCCAGTAGACCATAAAGGATGTTACACATTTGGGCCCACAATTGTTCACAAAATCAGTAAGTGGTAAACTGCACTTGTCACTCACGGACATTATTTTGGGGTGGTTCTGGTTCAGCAAGTAAAAGAACATAGAGGTTGTCACTTCCATTTTCACAAAAAGATCAACAGCCAAACTCACTAAAACTCAACAACTGGAGTTACATCCATTAGAGAACTGACACTGAGGACTCAAAAACCAGACACAGGAGGGGGCAGAGAAACACTGCTTACCACAAGCAGGCGCAAGCCCAGGATCAGGGGCCCAGCAACAACACTCACAGAATACCTTCTAACTTCCCAGAGACTAAACATAGGTTAACTTGAAATAAAAACTGCTGGGGGTGGGGGTGGGAGGAGGACAGTTTTAGGGGGACCACCAAATGGTCTTGCCTTTACCTCCAGATGCTGGCAGCAGGGGAAGAGCTCGAACACAATCATCTTGAAACATGCCCAGAGCATAACAAGATTCCCATGACAAGGCCTGCCTCCGAGGGAGTTCACTTAACAAGAACTAATCACAGTGGGCTTTACCACAACCTGGGGAAAGGGCCATACCCAGTCCTAGCCCTGTGTAGGTCAAACACTGGGCTGCTAGCCAGCCACTCCACAGGAGAAAGATGCAGCGGTAAAGATTCACAGTCTGGGAAGCTTTACAGGGTCGCTAAGAGTCACAATGGACTCCCTCTGAGGGTTTGGTTTAGGCTTTCTACCTTTACAAGGAAGAGAATGGAAATAACCAACTCTAACCCCTTCTTACTTTCCAGCCTCAACTAAGGGAGACTGGAGCAGTAGAGAAGTGCTTTACAGTGTTTTAAAAAAAAGCAAAGATGTCACTCTAAAAACTAAGGTGCACCTGACTAAAGCCCTGGTATTTTCAATCTCCTCATATGCATGTGAAAGGTGGACAGTGAGGAAGGAAAACCATAGAAGAATCTATGTCTCTGAATCATGCTGTTGTTAAATGCTGTCAAATCTATCTGACTCCTAGTGTTTCTGAGAAGATGGTAGACATAAAGCTCCACCCTTGCGGTTAGGAGCCCAATGCTTTATCCTATAGCGCCACACCGGGTACTGGTAAAAAATATTAAATATACTATGGACTGCTAGAAAGGAGCTCTGGTAGCACAGTGGTTACGAATCGGGCTGCGAACCTTAAGGTCAGTGGTTCGAAACTACCAGCTGCTCCACGGGAGAAAGATGAGGCTTTCTACTCCCGTAAAGATTTACACCCTTGGAAACCCTATATAGGGTCGCTATGGGTCGGAACCGACTCGATGTCACATAACAACAACAACAATGGACTGCTAGAAGAACAAACAATTCTGTCCTGAAAGCAGTGCAGCCCAAATGCTCCTTAGAAATGAGGTGGTGAGACTTTGCCTCACGTGCTTTGAACATGTTATCCGGAGAGACCAGCACCTGGAAAATAACATCATGCTTTGTACAGCTGTTGTGTGCCGTTGAGTCAGTTCCGACCCATAGCGACCCTGTATAGGATTTCCAAGGAGCAGCTGGTGAGCTTGAACCACCAACCATGTAGTTCAAACGACTTCGCAATCTGACGCATTTGCCCACAGCGCCACACCAGGACTCCGTTTTGTACAGTAGAAGGTCAGAAAAAAGATGACCACCAAAGAGATGGAATGACACCACGGCTGCAAGTAGGGTCCTAACCACAGCAATGATTGTGAGGATGGCAAAGGACCGGGCAGTGTTTCATTCTGTTGTATATAAGGCAGCTGTAAGTCAAAACCATCAACTCCATGACACTTAATATCATCCTCAGCTGGCTGGTGGTGTTCAGTGCCGTCATATCGGTTCTGACTCATAGCGACTGTGTATAGTATTTCCGAGTAGAAGCTGGTGGGGTTGAACCATTGATCCTGTGACTCAAACTGACTCTGCAGTCCGGTGCTTATTCTATAGTGTGTAGGTATGTAAACTGTAACTACGGAAAAGTTTGGTGTTTCCTCCAACAGGTAAGCATTAAATTACCACATTGCTGTTGTTAGTGGCCTACTGTTGTTGTTAAGTGCCATCGAATCGGTTCCGACCCATAGCAACCTTGAACAGGGTTTCCGAGGCTGTAAATCTTTACGGGAGCACAAAGCCTCATCTTTCTCCCGTGGAGCAGCTGGTAGTTTTGAACTGCTCACCTTGCAGTTCGCAGTCCAATTCGTAACCACTACACTACCACAGCCAAATCACAGCAGCCCCATGAGACAGAGTAGAACTGCTAGTAAAGTTTCTGTAATCTTTCTGGGGGCAGGTTTCCAGGTATATCTCCCAGGGAGCGGCTGGGTGGGTTCCAGCCACCCACCTCTCAGTTAACAGCTGAGGGCTTATCCATCACATCACCAGGGTTCCTTAGAATTCCTATGTGACCCGGAAATTCCAGTCCTGGATATGCACTCAAAAGAGTTGACAGCAGGGATGCACACAGGAATTTGTAGACCAAGGTAGCACCATTCAAAACAGGCAGAAGGTGAGAACAACCTGATGTCTAGCACCAGACAGACTGTTGTTGCTGTTAAGGGCTGTCAAATCAGTTCCAATTCATAGTGACAGATACATACATCCAATGAACTATTACTTAGCCATACAGAGAAATGAAGTCCTGATATGTAATACAATATGGACAAACCTTGAAATCAATATGTTGAGTGAAATAAATAAATCTAAAAAGAACAAATGTATACGATGCCACTTACATGAAATAGTTAGAACAGACAAATGTATAGAAACCACTAAGGATTGCTGGTGGTACTATACGAGAAGCACTGGACTGCTAAGCATAAAGTCAGCAGTTCAAGCCCACTAGCCATTCCGGGAGAGAGAGATGAGGCTTTCTGCTCCTTCAAACATTTAAAGCCTTAGAAACCCTACGCAGGGTCAGTATGGGTCGGAACCGACTTGACAGCACCTAACAACAACATACAGACCATTACCAGTGACTAGTGATAGAAAGGTTAAAAAGAAGCACCAGTGTTTAAGGGGGACTAAGATTGGGTGAGGGATGATGAAGCCTGTTGGGACAGTTGTACAGAATAGGGTCAACTGTGCATGCTGCCCTAAATGCAATAACATGCTCCTACTCTAAGAACACAATTTAACTTTTAAAAATCAGTTAAGCAAGAAGTTATGTAACAAAAAGGGAGTGAGAAGTTAATCTTACAGTCCAGGAACAGAGGACCCTAGGACCATCAAGGGAGAAGAGCACGAGCAGAATGCAGGACCTTATCCTGAGAAGCAGCGACACCAGAAATGGAGGCAGAGATGAGGACATGGAGAGAGGTAGCAGCTGAGGACTCTAGATTCATGGGAAGTGAGGGGACTGAGTGCTGACGGCCAGGAGGCAGGCTTGCAGAATGTGCTCTTTGGTTGGTTGTTTAAATGGTTATATATTCCTGAGTGTTTTTGTGGACATCCAAAAAAAAAGAAGGAATGGAGGCAAATACTGTTCACCGGTGGTGCATGGAAGGAGTGTAATCATTGCAATGAAACATAATACGATTGGTTGAGTGCAAAACTGATGTTCTCCCCTCAAAACTACACTCAATTCACAATCAAAGCTTTAAAAAAAAAAAAAAAAATTAAGTAAGCAATCCCTGGTTTAAAGAGGGTGTAACGATTATAGTTATTAGTATTTAATTATAGTCATATTAGCTTTTAAAAATGATAAACTTTTATTCATATTTGTAGGGTTTTCTAGACTAACAACAGTTTCATTTTTATTAATTAAAGGTCATTTCAAAGGAACCAGTCAATATGAAAGCACTGGGATTGCTAGTACATTTCCACGTCAGACAATTTCCATTGCACATAAGATGACAGTAAAGACAATGCACTTAACTTTACGTACCCATGTTGGGGACTAGGGACATAACTGCTAAAAACAGGACACATCACCAACGGTCCTTACAAAACTGAATATACGCTGAGTCACATTTATAGACTCAGTTACATGTATGTGGTCATCATGGTTGTAAAATATTTTTTTTGAATTCCAGACTTTCGCCTACTGGGATTTAATTTCTTATCTGCCCTGGAGGTTAGACCTCATAGAAAGGCAGAGTAGTCTCCTGTTTCACACACCTAAAATGGGTCACCAAAAGTCTCACAGACAAATAGCTCAAGTACCAAGCCTTCAAAGGGATTCCAGCTTAGCCTGCAACAAATATTGATGGCACATTTTAGATCTCTACTTATATAAATACAGAACGAGTGTCGCACCCTGTAAAGACTCTGCAGACACTGTGTCATGTTTCCATTAGGGAAGTTCCCAGCAGATGCCTCAGGGTATCACCTTACCTGACAGGGCATCTTGTGCTTCAAAAAAAGTACTGAGGCCTCCCTTCACATATGCCAGACTGCCTTCATTCTTCTTGTTAGCCTGTTTCTTCAGATTGCTAACTGCCATTTTGAGCTGTTCAAAACTGAAATGGAAGACAGAAATCAAATGTCTGAGACTCTTAGCAACCAAAGAGCAATAAAATAGATCCATTAAGTGTAAAATGCTAGGATGCCTTAAACCTACAATAAGAAACATACAAACTAATGCAATACGTAACTGCATAAAAACAAACAAGCTCTCAAATTTTCACCTAAATCTAATCCTTTTTCATTTATCATGTTTACATTGCAGCAACTAAAGAAACTTGCAACACTCAAATGGTAATTCCAAATATGTCAGAACCATTAAAACTAAACATAGTTGTTATGTGCTGTCGAGTCAGGTTCCAACTCACAGAGACCCTGGTATAGAGTTTCCAAGGAGCGGATGGTAAGTTTGAGCCGCTGGCCTTGCGGTTCAAAAGGACCTTGTGGTCGAGTGCTGATACACATGTACATATTTTCATATTTTTATAACCTATATAGACTATGGCCACCACTCGTCAGTCAGGTTGTCATACTATGGTGGCTTGTGAGGTGCTGTGATTCTGGAAGCTATGCCATGGGTATTTTAATACCAGCTGGGTCACCCATGGTGGGCAGGTTTCAAATGAGCTTCCAGAAGAAGACAGACTAGGAAGAAGAAGTGATGAGCTACTTCCTAATATTTAGTCACTGAAAACCTTATGAATAACATAGAAACACTGTCAGATATAGTGCCGGAAAAGGAGCCCCTCAGGTTGAAAGGCAGTCAAAGTGCGACTGGGGAAGAGCTGCCTCCTGAAAGTAGAGTTGACAGTGATGACGCGAAAGGAGTAGAGCCCATGGGAGTAAAACCCGCAGGACCTTCATTTGCCGATGGGGCACAACTCAAAATGAAGAGAAACAGC